AGGTGTGCTCTGATTGGCCAGCTATCCAGTGCATTGTGATTGGCTGAATACCTCTGTGTTACGGAAGAAATGTTACGCCCCTTACAATATTGTGATGCCGTGTCCCGGCGTGATGAGACAACACCAATAAAACCCATTATAAACTAGGCATTTGTTGCATCCAGTGGGGACATAATTACGGATTATATTGCGTATCGCGCCGCGTAAACAAAAAACCATGTCTGCATTTGTGATCAGAGAAACGACAAACAACAAGCGTTACTCTACACTGCCCGAAACTCGCGTTTAAATCGTCAGTGGCAAATTCTTTAAATATAAAAAACTTACTTACAGGCTGTGAGTCAGAAGCGCCAGACTGTGGTTGGCACTGCCCCACTTTATAGAAACAGCCTTTGAGCACAGATGCATTATAGTCTACTCTAGCAGGATCAGGAAACAGTCCTCCATAAAATGCGCTGCACACATCTGAATATTTGGGTTGAACTGTTCTGGAACAGTGTTGTAAATACAACTGAACCACTGATTTCTAGATGTGTCCTCTTTTGGAAGGCCAAACAAAGTTATTTCGCTTTCACAACAAAACACACCGCATCACACACGGCGGGCTAGCGGTAACCACATGTGACGACCCCGGGCTGGACTCCGCTTCGTAAAAAAGTAAATTCACTGTCTGTAAAGTAGAATGCAGAAGAAGAACATTCAACACACTTAAGCAATAAAAAAAGAAGCACAAATGTGTATCTAGAGTAATTTTTGCTTATTAGTATGTTTGAATTGGATCATCGAAGGTCAGCAGAAAAAACATTGGTTGATAAAATGGGATTAAATACATAAAGGATATTTATGTTATCTAACATTTAATTATTGGAGGTTTTCGTCATATTCTGAGTTGCATTTCACTGTTTTTATTCATTTTGAGGAATGCTGAATCTGTTTTTTGTGAGTGAGATGAATTAATGCATGTTCACATTTATTCTAGAACTACAGTAACATCTTACTCCTGATTTTCTCTCAGCATGCAGACGGCAGAGCTGTCAATCAATAAATGGGGGAAAAGTAACTGGAGTTACTTATTTGAAAAAGTAACTCCAATGTTTTCTTGTAAATTAAAAAGTAATGTGTTACTTTACTAGTTACTTGAAAAAAGTCATCTGATTATGTAACTTGCATTACTTGTAATGCGTAGCCCCTAACATTGCTGATGTTTTAAATTGTTTTATACAGTTGTTTGAAGCAACTGAATGCCATATTTTATATGAAAATAAACAAGCTAAAAACACACTTTCAGAAAATCTTTTATTGCTTTTCTATAGCATCCTATAGCTTTTCTATAGCATCACGCCTCAAATATATTGGTTTGGTTTCTTCTTTAAATAAAAAAAGTAAAAATATGCATGGTATTACAATGTTATACTAAAACTGAAATTAATCCTCTTTTAAAAAAAAGGCAAAACAAAGTAGTTTCACTTTCACAACGAAACACACAGCTTCTTCACGACATGGCAGCAGCGGCAACAACAATTCTACAGCGAGAATTAAAGTTACGCCTTGTTTCTTTGCGTGAACATTTAGGCGGTGTTATGCAAATCTTCCCACACTGTGACGTAGACGTGGGGGCGTGTTAGAACGAGCCATTTTAGGAGGGCGTTGACAAGTCTTAACTTTTATAAAAAATATCTCTTTGGGTTTGAGACTTTAGTCTTTACAACTTTAGGGATCTTATCTATTCACGAACAGCTTGTAACACATTTTGTAACAGAAAGGAAAATTTGAAATTGCATCATATGACCCCTTTAACATCAAAAACCACACCCTTGATGCCTATGTAGAATGTTCTAAATCGCTTCAATTATGAGATTCCATGATGGTTTGGATGCTTTCTATGTAGGCAGCAAGGCAGCTCACTTGGTTTTGGAACAAAGCTATGTATTTCTACTTTAGTTGGTCTCTATATACAGTTTCTCTATTCCTGACCTCCTCCTTCCTCTTCAGGTTCAGGGTGTTGTGCCAGTCCATTATTGCCCATAAGCTGTTTGACTATGTGGTGCTGGTCTTCATCTTCTCAAACTGCATCACTGTGGCTCTGGAGAGACCCAAGATCCTTCAGGGTAGCCTGGTAAGACTGAGGCCAATGGACCATTGATTCAGTTTTTTTAACCTATTTTAGTTATTGATGATTTCCATGTTGTCCACAAGCAGATATTCTCACAGCACTGACAAAATTCCAGCTTTTTCCACAATTTTGCTCTCTTTTTTTCCTCCCTCCTCTTCTTTCTGCAGGAGAGGCTTTTCCTCACCGTGTCCAATTACATTTTCACAGCCATATTTGTGGGGGAGATGACACTCAAGGTAAATATTTACATTCACAGCATGATATATTGTGCTGATTTCAGAACTCCCATGTATAGATTTTTTACCTTCCTGTATGTGCTAACATGCCTCTGATCTGTGTTGGTATATAAAGAGAAAATTATCAATATGGTAATTGGACACTCTAAAAAAATGTGACACTCAACAGTTGGGTTAGTCCATATTTGACCCAACATTGGGTTGAAACAACCCAGCATTTTTTAGAGTGCATTCACAGCCATTGCAGATACTGTGAATATACCTACTACTTTCTTTTCTTTTTTCTTGCATGTTTTAATGGTTTGAGTATAATATAATCCATTTAGTTATGCATATAACATACAGTGGGGTACAGAAAACACCAGTGAAAATGGTTCTATTTTGCATCTATTGCATCTTTCTATTTCAATGCAATTTTTCCATTACAAATTATATTATCAGCATAAAAATTTGAATGAAATGTTTCAGTCTTAGTATTTGATTCGCCCGTCCGTATTTTGCTTTAGCGATAGCTGCACAAAGGTTTTTTTTTAACCTAACCAATCATGTTCTCCAGCATAATTTGAGATATTCCAAAGTACTTCTTATGCTTCATTGGAAACTACAGCAACATACCGCCTGTACAGAGTCAAATTTGCATATTTGATCAGTGACCTAGAAATAGTTTGAAATGTTACAGTTTTTTTTAAATCCCAAATCTTTCAGTTTTATGTATGAAAGAATATTACATAATGCATCATTATATTATATTTTGATAGATATTGAACAAAATTGCACGCATTCAGATTCATTGGAGACATTGTTAAAGACTCTGGTCGTTTGAATGGGTAATTAGCTAAATGTTTTCCAGTAGATGAAACAGTGTGTGTGTATCTCTAATCCATCTCTCATTTCGTCATCTTCCTTTCGCTCTTTCTCACTCGTTTTCACACACACTTTCTCCTCTGGACCTTTTGAGAGTGGGGTATTACGTTTGCTGGCTGGCTCTCTTGTGGCAAGCAATTAAGCAATGATATTAATTAGAGCCAGTTTCCCCTTTCAGATGCAGTCAATCTCACAGACTGGCCCATCTATTCAGCTGGAAATGCATGGCACTTGTAGGTCATCAGTTATGTAACTTAATCAATTATTGGGAAATGGAACAAACAAGAAATAGACCTGTCAAAAGCAACACTGCATTACATAGTAGGACTATACCAGACTGTTGTAAGTGAATTTGTATGATTTTATTTTATTTTATTATTTTATGATTTAATTTTTATTGGTTGAATTTATTTTTATTTTTTTATTATTGTTTGTATTTTATTTTATTTATTTGTATTATATATTTTATTATTTTCCATCCATCCATTCATCCATTTTCCAAACTGCTTGTCTTATGTACGTAGAGTTACAAGCATGTTTTATTTTTTTAAATGTATTTTTATTTTTCATCCACCAATTCCAGACTGCTTGTCCTATGTAGGGCCATGAATATAATCCTTTTTTAAATGTAGTTATTTTATATATTTTATAATAATACTTATTATATTTTTTAGATGTTTTTCATACATTTGTTGCCATTTAAAATGTCTTGTCAACCGCCTATACGCAGTTAATATAAGATGATGCAGAGCATCTCCTTTACTGTGGACATTTTTAAAAGCGTTTGTGCGGTGGGAGACACAAGTCAAACAATGATTCCACCTTTCTCTCGAGGACCAGAAAGTCAACAATTACAGTTTATCCTTGGGGAGGCAGATTCTGCAAGCTACAGCAAAAATATACATACCGGTATAACAGCCTGAGGGGCAGCGGCTGATTTTACTGTCCCCAGCCCACCTACACTCGACTAATAGGAGTTCTGCAAGCAGATCTGCTCTCACTCAAAAAGCACCTTCTTAAATTGCTAGCGTGAGTGTCACATTACTGTACAAGCCTGGTATGCATCACTGATTTATTATTGGCTTTCTTTGGCAGTATTGTAAAGAAACTGTCAGACTAATACAGGCCAAATTGATCCCAAGAAAGAGCAGATATGTGTCGCAGTACGACATCTCATTTCTTAAAAGTACATAATTCTCTCTGTCTACTCTTTGCTCTTCTCACTCTTTAGACCTTAGCAAATGCTGACGTCAGATCGAGTGTGTGCATGTACTGTTTCTTTCCTGTCACTCGTCTTGTTAGTGTCACAAGAACCTGCCTGGGAGGCCTAAGGCTCAGGTCACCTTGGAGCTTCAATGGATTTTGTATTTTCGTCAATTTTACTGCTTTTTAGTTTCATATTTTTAGCTGTTTTTCCACAAGTTACAATGTTTTTTAAATCTCCTAGTCATATCGCTCAGCCTTCAGCAGCTCCCTTAAGTACATCTGCATCTCACCGCTGACAAAATGGTAGATGTTAGATGTAAATTGTGCAGAGCTCAGTTAAGTTGTAAAATCAGCTCTACAGGAAGCACTATTTTAGGGCTATAATTAGAAGTCTTGGCTTGGCTTGCCTGGAGATCACAAACTCTGACTTTGCTGTCTGTTTCTCCACTTCAGAAAATGTTTCGATCAATTCCAGCAAAGATATGTAAGCAAAATCACACTAGAAGGGACCGGAATGAAATTCTATATCAGATTAGAGGACCAGAAGTCAGTGCTATATAAAACCGAACAAAGTCTATGCAGTATTACACCAGAACAATGAAGATATACATTACAGAACTGCTTGAAGTTTTTATGCTGTCCATTTGAGACATTGTTTCTTTGTTTATTGTAGGTGGTGTCTATGGGTTTGTATCTTGGAGAGCAGGCGTACTTGCGCAGCAGTTGGAACATTTTGGATGGTTTCCTGGTGTTTGTGTCTTTGATTGACATTGTCGTGTCGATGGCGGGCGGGGCTAAGATCCTGGGGGTGCTCAGGGTCCTCAGGCTTCTGCGCACACTGCGCCCTCTCAGGTACATCTAAAAAAATGCAAGCATTCATGTGGCATTGCCCAACATATGCTTGGTTTATAACTCTGCTAAATGCTTTTTTTTATCCCTTCTGACAGGGTTATCAGTCGAGCTCCTGGCCTCAAACTGGTTGTGGAGACTTTGATCACCTCTCTGAAGCCTATAGGAAACATAGTTCTCATCTGCTGTGCCTTTTTCATCATCTTTGGCATCCTGGGAGTCCAGGTAAAGAACAAGATGCTCTCTGAAACATCTTGTCCATGCAAACTGAGGAGACAGTGTGCTACCTCTGATGTTTTAGAAGAGCATTTTGAATGCAACTTTTTAAAAGAAATCTTTGTATCTTTGATAAATATTTGTATCTTTGGAAATTGAGGTGAGTTGTTATTATTATTATTGACAAAATATACAAACACTTAAACCTGTGGCAGAAAGTCACCATTTGTATGTCAAAATTTAGTTTAAAAAAGGCTGTGTATATGATGGTGGTGAGGAGATATCCTCGATAGGATTGCAAATGCTTTGGATGACAAAAGCGTTATATAAATGTGTGTGTGTGTGTGCACGCACGCGCGGTTTTGTGACATATATGAGGACACACATTTGTATAATGACATGGGTATGACATAGGTATTACAAGAAGAAGGTGACTTATGAGGACATTACCTCATGTCCCCAGTTTTTCAAAACGCTTATAAATCATACAGAATTAGGTTTTTTTAGAAAGTAAAAATGCACAAGGTTTCCTGTAAGGGGTAGGTTTAGGTGTAGGGCAATAGCACATACAGTTTGTACAGTATAAAAAGCATTACGCCTATGGAATGTCCCCACAATTCGCAAAAACAAACCTGTGTGTGTGTGTGTGTATTTGATTGATTGATTGATGGATGGATGGATGGATGGATTGATTGAACGATTTCTTTAAGATCATGTGACACTGAAGACTGGAGTAATGGCTGGTCAAAATTTTGCAATCACAGGAATAAATTACATTTTAAAATGTATTCAAATAGAAAACCTTGTTTTAAATTAAATAATATTTCACAATATTACTGTTCTGTTCATTCAAAAACATTTAGATTATTTTTATTTTTTTTATATTTGAATGGTAGTGTTTACATCTTAGTGTTTCAATTTTTTTTTCAAGCAAATATAACTTGGGATTTAAAATGGGGACTCATTACCTGCTGAACAAAAGCTTTCGAAATAATATTTCACAATATTACTGTTCTGTTCATTCAAAAACATTTTGATTATTTTTTTTTTTTTTATATTTGAATGGTAGTGTTTACATCTTAGTGTTTCAATTTTTTTTTCAAGCAAATATAACTTGGGATTTAAAATGGGGACTCATTACCTGCTGAACAAAAGCTTTCTTTTACCTTACTCTACCTTGAAAGTTGCTTTTGTTGTTGTTTTTGCCACTGGTGCCCCCCTAAAAAAAATGATCAATGATGCCCCAGGGGGTCCTGATGCCTTTTGTCTTTTTTTCTTCCAGATTTTCTGCTTAACCTCACTATAATACCCTTTTTCTCTTCCATCACCATTGCTTTCAGTTTCTTTTTAGTTTGTGTTCATTATTAGTTCTTATTCCTTTTCAGTGCAGCATCTTGTTCTTTTCTTCATAGAAAATGTTTTCTTATTCTGTCCTGGCCTCCTTTTATAACACCCTTTTCCTTTCAAATATCCTCTGCTCTGACAGTTTTATTAAAGAGATGCTTGAGTAGTGTGGCGTTGAGTGACATGAAGTGTGTGCCATTTTTTTTGCCTCAACAGCTTTTCAAAGGCAAGTTCTACTACTGCTTGGGCCTGGATGTCAAAAACATCACTAACAAGTCTGACTGCCTCTTGGCCAATTATAAGTGGGTCCATCACAAGTACAACTTTGACAACTTGGGGCAGGTTAGTTTGTTCTCTGATTGGGCTCATCAAATTACATGACACATTCACAAAATACCAAATGCTGAGCAACTCAATTTGTTGCTTTGTTCGATATACCTTTATTTGTGTGCATCTATACCAGAATGACCTCTTCTTTACATTACATGTGGTTGTCTAACTGTCTTTGCAGCATATTTGTCTGTTCAACCCCCATCTATCTTTGTTTGTCCTGCTTGTCTTTCCACCCATCTCCATACTTCCGTGTCTCCTTGCATGTGCTCGTATGAACGTGTGTTTATGTTTTACAGGCTCTGATGTCCCTGTTTGTGCTGGCATCGAAGGACGGCTGGGTCAACATCATGTATCATGGTTTGGACGCAGTGGCAGTGGACCAGCAGGTAATGCTCTTCATGTAACATGTCCATCCTGATAATACTAACCTGGTGAATATAAATTGTGCTCTTTCAATGTCATATGGATGTTGTAATACATTTGCATATTGGTATCACAGAGAACCATCACTGTCAGTCCTCTCATATAGTCCTCTCAGTGTTAACCCAAAGCAGGCACATTTATACAGACTTTTTAAAGTACAAATAGCAACACAAATACAATCACACATGTGATTATACAGAAGTCTAGGGTTTAAAGAATTTAAATAAAGCTAAAATAAATATCTGACCATGGACCACAAAACCAGTCATAAGTAGCACGTTTAGATTGTGTGGGTCAAAATTATAGATTTTTCTTTTATGCCAAAAATCATTAGGATATTAAGTAAAGATCATGTCCCATGAAGCTATTTTGTACATTTCCTACCATAAATACAGTATATCAAAACTTGATTAGTATGCATTGCTAAAAACTTAATTTAGACCACTTTAAAAGGCGATTTTCTCATTATTTAGATTTTTATTTTTTTTGCACCCTCAGATTCCAGATTTTCAAATAGTTGTATCTCAGCCAAATGTTGTCCTGTCCTAACAAACCATACATCAATGAAAGCTTATTTATTCAGCTTTCAGACGATGTATAAATCTAAATTTTAAAAAATTGACCCTTATGACTGGTTTTGTGGGGCAGGGTCACATATTACATGAAAATCTAAAAAAAATAAAAATAAAATGCTTTAAAGAATAGAGGAATTTACTGAAACTCAAATCAAAATTAAAGCTAAATATAAAAAATCTAATGAAAATTATAAAAGCACATAAAATTACTTATTATTCATAAGTTACTTTGGATAAAAGCGTCTGCTAAAAGAACAAATGTAAATGAAAATATAGAAATAAAAGCCAGTTCAGGTTTTCAGAGTGGCCTGGTGCACAGTGTACTTTTATTAAAAACTATATTCTGTAATGAAGATACTAGAAGTAAGCTTTAACAACTGTATAAAATTTAATTTATTTTCTGAATTAGTTATTTTCATACTTCTTAAGTGTTAAAAGGTCTCTAAGTTAAACAAAAGTCAGTTTCTTCTTTAACTAAAATAAAGAGCTTTAAAGAATAAGCACTCAACAGTGAATATTTAATCCTGAATACACACAATCAGCTTCATGAATACTAACAGGCTTTTGGCTCTGAAGCTAAAAACAATGACTTTCAAGAGTCCTCGATTCAGAAAGCAGTAAGCTTGCATCAGTTAGGGACAAGCACATAATGATTAAGTGAAGGCCTGCAGCCAGACCCTCTCACACTGGAAGAGCCCAGCATCTCTAGGGAGTCAAACACAGGGTGGAGAAAAAAAAACTCGTAGATTAAATGGCATGTGTAATTTCCCCACTGCATCATCTCTGTCACACCAGAGTCCACTGCAGGATATAATCTATGTGTGGAAGCAGATGGAACTGTGCAGAGTACCGTGTGCTTTCTCATCCCATGTTTTACAATGAGCTAATTTAGACTTTGGTGTCTTTGTTTCGCTCCACACTGCTGCTAAGCAACTAAGTAAAAGCTGAACCTAAGTTCACTTTACCATAATTTGACCAATTTCCCTCAAGCTTATGAGTGTCTACATTACACAAGGCTGTGTTGATTATATTGTTAAATTAAATTTTAGGCAGCTCCCTGTTCTGACCAGTTTCTTGTGTCGTTTTTTAGTAGTACTTGAGAAGAAAAGCATTGTTATTATCGTTCCTCATTGTTCTAGCCACACCTTGCAGAATAACCCTTCCTGCCTGTCTAGTGCTAGGGAAGTTAATTATACCTGAAATAATGCCTATAGGCAGTTCACATTCACATTTTCTTCAGAAAATCAAGTGTATATCAAGTGTTTGTTCCTAACTCTTTCATTTTCCGTTCTTTCTGTCTCTTCATTTTTCAGCCCATAACCAATAACAACCCCTGGATGCTGCTGTACTTCATCTCCTTTCTCCTGATCGTCAGTTTCTTCGTACTGAACATGTTTGTTGGAGTGGTGGTGGAGAACTTCCACAAGTGCCGACAGCACCAGGAAGTGGAGGAGGCCAAGAGGAGAGAGGAGAAGAGACTGAGACGCATGGAGAAAAAGAGACGGAGTAAGAAAGAGGAAAAGAGAGGAGAGGCAGAAAGCATGTGTCGTGGAAATGGGTTTGGCCAATAAAAGAGTAATAACAATGGAGAACACCACCCTTTTTTTCAATTTAACATGGTCTTTAGTTTGAGACCCTCTTATTAGGCTGAATTAACTTAGATATTTATTTTACCTGCAATAATTCATGATGACAGAATCAACAGGGCCAAAAAATAAATTTAAAGCATAAAAAAGAACGAAACGAAACAAACAAAACACAACAAAACAGTTCCACGGAGAGGAGAATTAAATCCATTAGGGAAAGGGGAAAGAGAGGGAAGGATGGAGCGCAGTGAAATGAAAAGGAGTGTAAATGAAAATAGATGATTTGATTTGCACATGATATGCTGAACAACCAGTTTAATTCTCCAGACATTTCATAATAACATTAGCCAGATGGAAAGACCGCACAGGTGTGTTCTGTGATGCTTCTTTCCTCTGAAGAAAACAAATCTAGTTTACGGACCAGAGAGTAGCCTTTTCGTCACATATATAAACTGTAGATCATTTTGATAGTAAAATATTTTCTTGCCCCAATCTAATGTGCAGAGATAATTGTAAGTAATCCAATAGTAGGTTGATTTTCAGAGAAGTGTGATGATATGATGTTTTAAGATGGAGCCGCGTATGGCTGCCGTGGTGTGGAACGCTCCCGTTCTTTTGCTGTTTTTGTTTGTTTGCTCTGTTTAGTCATTCTCTTACTATCAGTTTTACTAGAGACGAACTACTGGACATAAGGAAACACACACCAGACAATTATTTTCCAGTTTTTGATTATTCAGATGCTTTGTTGGATGTTTTGGTCAGAAGGGCAGCGGTCCTATTCAAAACGTTCCCTTCCTAACAAAACGGATGAACTTCTCCTCACCTGCACAAACAAGGACTTTTCAAAATCTGATGCATTGTGCTTCACTGAAAGCCATTCCGGACAACGCGCTTCATCTGCCGGGCTACCAGCTGTTCAGAGCGGATCGCATTGCGGAGTTAACAGGGAAAACGAGAGGTGGTGGACTATGTTTTTACATAATTTAAGGTTGGTGTTCAGACGTAGCAACTCTGAAGAAGATGACGAAAGTGAAAGTGACGAAAGTGACGTGACATGTGGCCAAGTATGGTGACCCGTACTTGGAATTAGTGCTCTGCATTTAACCCATCCAAAGTGCACAGACAGCAGTGAACACACGCACCGTGAACACACACCCAGAGCAGTGGGCAGCCATTTTTGCTGCGGCGCCTGGGGAGCAGTTGGGGGTTCAGTGCCTTGCTCAAGGGCACCTCAGTCGTGGTATTGAAGGTGGGAGAGAGCGCTGTACATTCACTCCCCCCACCTACAGTCCCTGCCGGTATGAGACTCGAACCCGAGTGCGACTCTCTAACCATTAGGCCACGACTTCCCCCATGTGCTCTCCTAATTTAGAGGCGCTCTCCATAAACTGTAAACCATTCTATTCTTCCAGGGAGTTTTCCTCTTTCATTCTCATGAATGTGTTCGTGCTTCCGGATGCATGCAACAGCTGGCCGAACAGATAACTGAAATGGAACAACGGTACCCGGACTCTCTTTTAATTATTCTTGGAGATTTTAACAAAGCAAATCTCTCCCGTGAACTGCCAAAATACAGACAGCACGTTACATGTCCCACCAGAGACAGTAATATATTGGATCACTGTTACACAACAATTAAGGATGCATATCACTCTGTTCCACGGGCAGCTTTGGGGCTCTCTGATCACTGTTTGGTTCAACTTATACTGACCTACAGGCAGAAACTGAAATCAGCTAAACCTGTATTAAGGACTGTAAAAAGATGGACTAATGAAGCAGAGCAGGATTTACAAGCCTGTTTCGACCTCACTGATTGGAGTGTTTTTTAAGCTGCTGCCACCGATCTGGACGAGCTCACGGAGACTGTAACTTCATATATCAGTTTCTGTGAGGATATGTGCATCCACACCAGGACATTCTTATCATTCAATAATGATAAACCGTGGTTTGCAGGGAAACTCAAACAGCTTTGTCACGCCAAAGAGGATGCTTACAGAAGTGGGGATGAAATCTTGTATAACCAGGCCAGGAACAGACTAACAAAAGAGATCAGAGTGGGTAAAAAGAACTATTCTGAAAAGCTGAGAAAACCATTTTCAGCCAACAATCCGGCGTCAGTATGGTCTGAAGAACATCACCTTGTACAAGACACCACCCCCACAGTCTGTGGAGAATCAACAACTGGCTGACGATCTGAATGTGTTTTACTGTCGATTTGAAAAGGCCAGACTGACACCCAGCACCCTT